GTTAGGGTAGGATGTGGAGCAAACGGTGTTTGCATCAAGCAGGGCGAGGGTGATAAGGAGGGTAGTGGGGGGGGGGGGTGGAGGAATCATTCTGTAACACATTTTCTCAAGACTAAACATTAGAAACTGTCAAGTTTCCTACTGGTTCATTGGTGTCTCCATGCTGACTGGCCAGCAAGTTTCCTTCTCACTTACATGTCAAAATAAGACTTGCCTCGTGCTGAATGTTGCACTTGGACTCTCTTGTTGAATGTTTTACTGCCTTTTGTTGACTGTTGCACTTACCCTGTTTTACCTGGAGTTTACCTGGAGAGGGTTCTAGCTGTTCTACTCCCCGGGCCCGGCCTAGGGCCAGGTTCGGTGATAACTTGGTCCACCAGGCTGTTGCTTGGAGCAGCCCTCAGCCCCACATACCCACCACAGCCTGGTTGGTCCAACACTTCCTGCAGAAACGTTCCTAATTGCTGCTTGAAGAAGTCTATCAAAGTTCCGGCAATATTTATTATGCTTGCTGGGAGAGTACTGAACTGTAGTGAACTATTCTGAACCGCTGATGTTCATAGTGCTTTCTCATTGTGCCTGTGACACCTCTACTCCTCACTGCTTCTATTCTGAAATTCGTTCCATATCTTACGGTCCAGTAAGTTAATCTACTGTACAAATTTGTGACCTGGCCCTCCAGTATGTTCCATGTATATATTACTTGGTACCTCTCTCGTCTCCTTTCCAGAGGCATTGTGAGACGGTCCCAATAATGAGCTCAGACGGCCCCAATAATTTAGGTGCGTTAATGCTACCTGGGATTCCATTGATTCCTCTAGGGATCCCGAGACTTCCAACTGAAGCCCAGTCAGGGTTTGATACATTGCCTCCATGCTCTCTGGCTTATGGACGTGTAGATCTACCTCTAACATTACTCGTCAGATTCACAGTGGAATCCCGTGATGCCCTTGCTCTGGACCGTTCAGGAGTTGGAACTCCTGAACCACAGCCAGAGTGCATGGGGGATAATATATAAACTTTTGACTGGGCTTCAGTTGGAAGCCTCTGGACTGCTAGAGGAATGAATGGAATCCCAGGGTGCTGTTGACTATGTCGTGGTGCAATGGTCTACGTCGATTGCTTCGAGTACCAACTGAGTGGGTTCGAATCCTCCTCATGGCTCCTACTGTTTTCCGATTTAAAAACAGTTAACATTGTAATGGTACCCCACGATTTTAACGTTTCATAATTCATCCTACAATTCTTCTGGCTGACGTTGTTTTTGCTTGAGTTCTAGATGTCAGGTCATCAGACACACTTCCCAGAACTTTTACATGCTGTTTTGTCATTATGGGGTAGGTCTGATCGTGTCTCGTACCCTGTATTATGTTAACGGTCTACATGTCTGTCATACATAAGTACCTAGAAGTTATCGCTGTTAAACATCATGTTATCTTTAGTTTACCAATCAAAGATTATTAATATCACATGTTGACTTGTGATAACTTGGTCCACTTTCACTGCTCCATGTTGACTGTTACACTTGCACTGTCAGGTGTTGACTGTTACACTTGCACTGTCAGGTGTTGACTGTGACACTTTTTGCACTGTCAGGTGTTGACTGTGACACTTTTTGCACTGTCAGGTGTTGACTGTGACACTTTTTGCACTGTCAGGTGTTGACTGTGACACTTTTTGCACTGTCAGGTGTTGACTGTGACACTTTTTGCACTGTCAGGTGTTGACTGTGACACTTTTTGCACTGTCAGGTGTTGACTGTGACACTTTTTGCACTGTCAGGTGTTGACTGTGACACTTGCACTGTCAGGTGTTGACTGTGACACTTGTACTGTCAGGTGTTGACTGTGACACTTGTACTGTCAGGTGTTGACTGTTACACTTGCACTGTCCTGTGTTGACTGTTACACTTTTCACTTTAATTCAAAAATTGTGTTCCATGATTCTTATTGTAGAGAAATGCCAAGATAACAGTAGATTATATCAAAGAACGTTTCGTCTGTAAGGGCTCGATGATAAAAGCTTTATCAAATGTAACGGAAATACTCCCTGTTATCGTGGTGGATAATATTGTTTATTCTTGGTAAATGACAGTACTGTACCTTACCTTTTTTGCTTTCCTAGTCATATCTTGAGAACACCATTTTATCGACTTGCAAGTAATATAATAATTATGCCTTATGATGAATAAGGCTATATTCCTGTTTCATATATTTTATATGAAAAATGATTATATTATAATGATTATACTGTATATTATATGAATATATGTGTTATATGAATACTGTACATATATGTGTTATATTAGAAGATGAACAGTGTACAGTATCTCTTTTGGGGACTGTTCTTAGTATCAATCTGTCTTCCCTTCTATCTTTGTCAAATGACATGTTATAAATTACTGGTGGTTTTGGCATCCACTATGACCTTAAATCGTCCATCGTCCATAGCTCTGTTCGGAAGATTAAATTCAATTTCTTTATTATGTACCCCATACCCATCCCGTGGGCGGTGGTGTAAAGGATTACAGAGGCCAACCCGTTCTCGCAAATTCGTAAAGTCAATATTGACTTATTAACTACGTGCATAGGTGATATACTAAACATAATAGATACCCTTAAAAAGATTCATAGAAAACACCGACCTTACCTAACCTTGTTAGTATCTTAAGATAAGCATCTTATTGCTTCGTAATTACAATTATTACTTAACCTATACCTATTATAGGTTAGGTAATAATTGTAATTACGAAGCAATAAGATGCTTATCTTAAGATACTAACAAGGTTAGGTAAGGTTGGTGTTTTCTATGAATCTTTTTAAGGGTATCTATTATGTTAAGTATGTCACCTATGCACATATTTAATAAGTCAATATTGACTTATTAAATTTGCGAGAACGGGTTGCAGAGGCATATAATCGGTTCAGGAACTGAACCCTCTAGTTCGTTTAACTAAGCAAATAACAATCTTTTGACGCTAGTTACAAAATTATTGTTATATATACGTACATGTACACATACTCATACATACATGTACATATATATACATACTGTATACATATATACATACACATACATATATAATCACCCACACAAATACACATCAATTATCTGAGAGAGAACCTCTGGTAATTTTTTCGGCAAATTTTAATAATTCTTCCTAGTGAACTTTGCTGATTTCTGTTACGGTTTTGTATGAGATCATATCGCCTCTATTTTTTTTCAGTCTATTATAGTTATTCCTCGCCAGTGTTCTGTGAGAATTTCCAAAAGTTGGTGAAAAAATACAATATACAGCTGTACTACCTTTCCTTGTAATAGTGTAATTTGTTTTTAAATAGTTAAGGTATTACTCAGTCTGCAAGAAAGAAACAATTGACTGAAGTGAAGTGTGATCATACACTTGAAATTAAATTTTATGAACTGTCATTACGGTGTATGTGCTTTGGTTATCACAGAAAACAGAGCTTCATGCTATCTTCCAAAAAGCTATAAACATATTGCTACAATTTTCAATGTCCTACACGTGAGAGCGAGCATTTTTCGTGTTTAACGAATATAAAACCAAACAGGAATGGGCTCGTGTCTGAGGAAGATGCGACCATGAATTCAGTTGTGGTTAAAAAGCAAGCCCAAGTTTTACATTAAATAATAACAATTCATTATCTCGGGGGAGCCAGGCAGCCAGTTTATACATACAGTACATGTATAATAAGTTAGGCTTATTTTGAGGGGACCTCCTTGGCCGAATTACAGACTTTACCTCAGATGGGACTCCACAAGATGCTTACTGTGGTAACGCCTTTGTAACTATTTACTGCTCGGTAGACAGGTGCATTAGGTGATAAGAAACACACCCAACCATTTCTGTCCTGCCCAGGATTTGAACCTGGAATTCTCGATTGTGATTCGAGAACAATGTTGACTGTACTACCTGGACCAAAAGATACTTAGGAGACAAATTAGGAGACAATTACAATCAATGTTATTCTATTAAAACTTGGATTATTTTTATTTGTGAATATCTTATAAAAGAATAAAATGTATCTAGTGTTTTCATTAACAGCTTTACAAAAAAAATTATTACAGTACCACAAAAATCATAACAAAATATACACACCGCTTGTAATCAGTAAGCCAGATGCCCTGCAATCTGTTTGAGTGAAAATGTTTGTAATTTTTGTATTGACAGTAATTATTAAATTAAGTTAGACAATAAATACTCTTGTAATATTTTATATAAAAGCATAATATATTAACCCTACTGCTTTACTTGTCTGTTTTATATTTGACCCCTGTCAAACTTAGTACACTATGTTAGCCAGGTAGGTAATATTTCATGAGCTCCTCCAAAGTCCAAACAAAAAAGGTCGAGAATCACGGGTTTAAAAGCTTAGGCCTGTTTTGGAGTTTGCTTGTTGGGTGTTTTGGAATTACAGTACAGTACATTATTTTGTTGGACCATTTTTTTTTCTTCTTCTTTTTGTATTGGTCACTTTTAAATTTTCTGTATTGGTCATTTTTGTGGATGAACCTAGGTATACATAAGTGAGACTTGGGATATATCGATGAAATGTGGAATAAATAAAAGAAAATTGGGATGCATGGATGAAACTTGAAATGTATGGAGACAATTCTGAATGCAAAGATGAAACTAGTGATACGTTACTTCAACTATGGATACACAAACACATACACATACATACTAGTGGAACATGAGGATGAAATCTGGAATATGAGGATGAACATGGAATATGAGGATGAAATGTGGAATATATGAAATATATATATTTCATCCAGAAATTATATGGATGAAACTTGGAATATATGGATGAATCTTGGAATATATATGAATGAAACTAGATATACGAATGAAACATGCGATGATGAAATTGGGGATAGATACATGACCACACATCTCTCACGGCATAAGGCAGTCAGTGACATGCAGTGTGCCAAGGTAATGGCAATAAACTTTTATGGTTCTATCTTTTCCACAGGGGATGGAGGGAACACAGAAAGTGTGGGTGAGCGACCAGACCCATGGCTTTATCCTGGGTAACATCGTTGACCTCACCAGTGATGGGGTGCTCATCCAGCCCGTCACGCGAGGCACCAAGCCCATCACTGCTGACTACGACCGAGTTTATCCAGCTGAGGAAGATGACACCAAAGAGGTGGATGACAATTGTGAGTTTGTCTTTTCACTGTGTACATGGTTTGCTAATTTGTCATATAAATTATTAGTAGACTATTAGTTTTATGTATGATGTACTCTTTGAAATTGTATGCAAAACTGGACTGTATAGTATATTTTTAAGGATTATTAAAATATGTACTTCAAGACCAAAAATTTTATTGCATCAAAAATTCAAATACTGCAATGTTTATTATATAGTCAGATTTGAGGGTTCTTAGACAGTAGTATATTGTACACAAAAATTATGTTTATGGAATCTGACTTTCTGGTCTAATTGTGATGGATCATGTTCATCAGATCAAGATGTATGTTAAATCTAGGTTTTTATATATATATTTTTTTTTTTGCAGTTTGTTACTAATATTTTTGGGAGTTTCTTTTCATTAATGGTAAATGCCATCTTTGCTCATGTTTACACATGCTTATAATCAATATATAAATGCAGTTTTAATACACCTGTATTGTAAATTTAAAAAGTCAAATTTTTGTATATAAATAAGGATTTTTGAAGGTTTCAGTGTATAAAACAGCTTTGATAGGAAATTGAAAATATTCTACCGATGATTTTTGTTTCAGGTGCTCTTATGTACCTAAATGAGGCAACACTTCTCAACAACATCAGGTTACGTTACAGTCAGGACAAAATATATGTAAGTTTTTGTGTTGTACTTAAGAACATGATAAAGGTAACTGCAGAAGGCCTATTGGCCCATTCGAGGCCACTCCTATTTATAACCACCCAATTCCACTCATAAATATGTCCAACCCATGTTTGAAACAATCAAGGGACCCCACCTCCACCACATTACGTGGTAATTGGTTCTACAAATCAACAACCCTGTTACCGAACCAGTATTTACTCAGGTCTTTCCTAAATCTAAACTTATCTAATTTATACATAGTATTTAGTGTTCTGTCTTGTGTTGATACTTTTAATACCCTATTAATATTCCCTTTATGTTCATTCATCCACTCGTACACTTCTATCATGTCACCCCTAATTCTTCGCCTTTCTAGATAATGTAATTTAGGCTTTGTCAGTCTTCTTCAAATAACAGGTTACTGTACTAATTTGGGGAATTAACTTTGTCATCCTATGCTGGATGCGTTCTAGTGAATTTACATCCATTCTATAGTACGGCGACCAAAACTGAACAGCATAATCTAAATGTGGCCAGAGCAAGATATAGCTGAAGAATATGGTACAGTACTTAATGGCTCTCAAAGCTCCTCTTTGCATTCTTTAAGCACCCTGACAGACACTTCGTCTGGCCCTGGGGATTTGTTAGGCTTCAGTTTCACCATTTGTTTAGTAACATCCTCTGTGGTAACTGCTAAACTAATCACTCTATCCTCTTCCCCACCCACATAGACTTGTTTGGTTGAAGGCATAATGTTAAGTTCCCCTTTAGTAAATACAGAGATAAATTATTTATTAAAAATACTACTCATCTCTGTCATTATCAGTTATACGACCTGTCTCAGTGTTTAAAGGACCTATTGTTTTCCTAATCTCTGTTCAACTAAAAATTTTTTTAACTGAAAAAAAATTTAGGATTTGCCCTGCTATGCGAACTTCATTTTTTTTTTTTGCCCTCCTTATCTCTCCTTTTAACATTTCTAACCAGTTGGACGAATTCTTGTTCTGAACTGACTATCCCCATTCCCAATCCTTTTGTACCAAGCTCTCTTTATACCTGCAATATAAAGTTCTTCAGATACTTTATCCATTTCAGATTATTATTATTCGATCTATTCAATTTGTATGGTATACTACGTTCCTGTGCTTTGCTTAAAATATTTTTAAATAAGTTATATTTTGAATCAACATCGAAATCCCTTTTTACATCACCTATGGTTGGGTTCACGTCTCGCTCCAAGAACGTATATCATATTGTATATGATTTCTCTTACTTGACAGATAAAGACAATGAAAATTTTATACATGTGTAATTTGTTTGAAGACAACTTTTGGACTATCTGAAGTTATTTGTTCCTGTGGACAAAGCATGTGGTATTGGATTAAGGTAGTTCAGTAATTAATCCTTAAACTGCTCAGCATAAGGGGGTATAATTTGAAAAATATTTGAATTACGTAAAAATTACTTAAAAATGTTAAATAAATCTCCAACTTATTGACTTCAGCGTTGTGAAAGTTTCATTAAAATATTTTCAGAAATTGATTTTAGACAATTATTTAAAAAGAAAAGAACATTTTGTTGATAAGGAGAACAGTTCCTGTTAGCTGGAACTGATGGGTAATGCAATAATAATAGAGAGATGCAAGCACCTGTCCGACGCACAAAGAACAAGATTAGTAGTAAGAAGTGTCTACAAAAATAACACAAATAATAATGAGTAAGTATGTTATTATGCTCTATTTTGTTATATATCATATAATACATTGCCCAAAGTTATCAGTTACTGGTACTTTCAACAATGTCCAAAAACATATTTTTTTAGGGGATTTTTTTTTTTTTTAAGGTTTTTAGGTTTTCCTCCTATGTTGGGGGCTCCCAACATAGGAGGCTCCCCCCTTCCCCCTCCCAGGGTGGGGGTTGCACAGACGGTGGCGTGTTGGTAACGAGATGCCATCATGCTCATTTGATCGTCTTTTTTCGTGGAGAGGTCTATCCTTTTGTTCGGCGTTTGATAGCATTTCTTACCAGAATGGGGGAGGGGGGTGTTTTGGGGAGGCTATCTTTCTGGATGCCTGACCCGGTCGATAGCAGACATAGTGGTGCTCCTTGCGCCTCTCTGAGGGAAGAGGGCCAAGTTCTGGCTCGTGGTCCCCGGTAGGTCTAGAACTCCATGTACATTGCCTGATGCTATTCTCACTATATTTTTATATATAGCACAGCTGTCTATTCTACAATCCCTATAGAATTGATTTTTCATAAACTCTCAACTTTTGGAGTTATAAATTTTTGTTGTCTAAATTTGCGCATATTTCAAATGCCATATTGACAAATTTTTTTTACAGCAAACTATACTGAAAACCTATATTCTAAATATATGAAAATGAATATCATATGCTATTCTGAGAGCATAATAACACCAAATAAACAATTGGTGATATTTTATATTTTTGCAGCCGATTTCAAAATAGGAAGTTTTTAATATTCAATTTTATAATTATTTTTTATTTTCTTGTTTTTCAAGTTTCACTGGTATCATTTAGACAAAGTTGGAGCATTTGCCTAGTAGATTATGCACAAAACATTTGAAAGAGTTTCAGAAAATTTGAAAAACTGAGCTCAATGTCATACTTCATATGACGTTTTGTGCAGTTTAGGGGTTAAAAGTGGTGAAATACTTTGGTAAATAGAGAAGCGGTGTTTGATCTGATTAAATTTGCTTCTAAATGTAACTGTTGTACAATAGAGTATTTTTGCAATGATAGGAGTTAAGTTAAAGTTATCTTATTGGAGGATGTAAATTTTTTATACCAATACCCGTATAGTGTAACCACAAGAATTGAGTATGGTTACAGTGCATGTATACAATAATTATATATCCACCAATATGAGAAAATCAGTAGGAACCATGAGGAACATTCAAACCCACACACTTGGTACTCCCAAGCCCATGCCCTACACCACTACACCATGACATAGTCAGAAGCAATACAACCTGGAATTCGACTGAGTACCAAGTGTGCGGGTTGGAATCCTCCTCACGGCTCCTACCGTTTTATCATTGATACATTATGTTGATGTGGCTTCATTGTGCATCCTCCAATCTGATAATTTAAAGGTTTCACATTTCTTTAATTTGCAGTGTCTATAATATCTATGGGAAACATGTATCTATCAGTGTGAAATTAACAAACCATGTATGGGTAATACAAGGAAGACCCCTGTTGCTACTGGGATGTGAAGATTTTACAAATACAGAAATTTAACAAATCACTGGGTGGAGGGGAAGGTGGAGTTATATTGAGTGATGCATAAAGTAATAAGTGCAACTGCTCCTAAATTTATACGCACACATCTTGATGCTAAAGGATAATTTCAGTAGTCTTGGTTACAATCAATACCTTAGGAAGTTTTGTGAAAGGTGGAATTGCTACAATAAATAGCTAAAAGTCAAAGTTTAACAAATGATTGGGCACATTTCCTTTCACCTAATGCTTTTATTCACCTAGGCAACATAGGTGAATATAGTTGCCTAACTTTTGGGTATATTGGTACCCAGAAGTTAGGCAACAGTTGCAGGGTTGCATCCTAGGAAGGGTCAATAGTTTGACCTGGTGGGGGGGGGGGGAGCTGGTTTACCTCTATACAAGCCTCAAGTACTCGGTTGTACTTGCAGGGGTTGAGCTCTGGTTCTTTGGTCCTGCCTCTCAACTGTCAATCAACTGGTAATTACCCAAGTGTAGTTACAGGATGAGAGCTACACTCGTGGTGTCCCGTCTTCCCAGCACTCTGTCATATAACGCTTTGAAACTACTTTTTGGCCTCCACCACCTTCTCACTTAACACTTTCGCGCTTTAGATTAGAGATAACTCGTCGCCGTTTTCTCTTACGATTCCGCATAACAGCCGAGTTTTCTCGTCCATCGAAAAAATATTTCTATAAATTCCATTTTTTAACCAAAATGGATGGGGATACTTTTGTTTTGTAGGGAATTTATTTGCGAATGTTTTGGTACCAGAATGAATATTATATCACATAAACTTCTATGAGTAAAAAAAAAATACACAAAGTATGTTTGGGGGTGTGGCGAGCGTGTGGCAGTGGGTTCCCTTTAGCCGTTGATATATCCAACACGTGGGAAATATTTGTATGTGTTATGTATATGTCTGTGTAGGGAATTTTACTGCGATCACTGTCATACAAATTATAAAATGTTTCAACAAGTATAAACATGACAAACATCAAACGAACGAAAACAATGCGTTCGTTTCTGCCGCGAACGCATACTGAGCGACGTGGTTCTATATTTGGCGCTTCTCTTACACATGCTTTGTACAAATGTTATACAGTTCATCTTATAGAAAATTTTATTGCGAACACATTGGTATAAAACAGAAATACGTACATAGAAAAGTAGGGTCAGGAAACGTATAAACTTTCCAAGCATGATTTCCCCCCTGTGTTTTCACCAGTGCGCTCGCGGCTAACTACTCTCCACTTCACACACTCTTGCGGGTGGGCAATTACCTATATTAAACATTCATATGCACATGTCCGCGTAGAGAATTTTATTGCGATTCCAATGATACCAAAATTAGCGATGTAGGACAACTGTAGGCTTCGCAACCATTAAGAGAGTGGAAACATTTTGTTGCTGTTTGGCACTCTCGGCGAGTGATCTGCATAGTTTTTTATTTGGTGTTGATACTCCTTATGCTTGGGCGGCATTTTATAGGTATGCTCTTATAGACAATTTCATTGCGAACACAGTGATACCAAATTTAAATACGTGCGCCTTCAATTATTGTCAGGACAGTCAAAAGAGTGAACACTTTTCGGTCTTACCGCGTAGGCGCGCGAAGTGCCGAAAGCATTTGGGGTATTGTTTTTTTTCGAGCGCCGAGAGCGTGAAAGTGTTAACTTGTTCCAACCGTCTACCACTCTGTTTACGAAAGTGAATTTTCTTATATTTCTTCAGCATTTTTGTTTAGTTAGTTTAAGTCTATGACCTCTTGTTCTTGAAGTTCCAGGTCTCAGGAAATCTTCCCTATCAATTTTATCAATTCCTGTTACTATTTTGTGAGTAGTGATCATATCACCTCTTTTTCTTCTGTCTAGAAGTTTTGGCATATTTAATGCCTCTAACCTCTCCTTGTAGCTCTTGTCCTTCAGTTCTGGGAGCCACTTAGTAGCATGTCTTCGCACCTTTTCCAATTTGTGTATGTACTTCTTAAGATATGGGCACCACACAACCACTGCATATTCTAGCTTTGGCCTAACAAAAGTTGTGAACAATTTCTTTAGTATTTCCCCATCCATGTATTTAAAAGCAATTCTGAAGTTAGAAAGCATAGCATAGGCTCCTCGCACAACGTTCTTTATGTGGTCCTCAGGTGATAGTTTTCTATCTAGAACTTCCCCTAGATCCCTTTCTTTATCAAAATTCTTTAAAGATTTCTCACGTAATTTATAGGCTGTGTGGGGTCTACGTTCTCCTATTCCACATTCCATAACATGGCATTTATTCACGTTAAATTCCATTTGCCAAGTGGTGCTCCATATACTTTTGTCCAGGTCTTCTTGAAGGGCATGACAATCATCTAAGTTTCTTATCCTTCCTATTATCTTAGCATCATCAGCAAACATGTTCATATAATTCTGTATTCCATCTGGTAGATCATTTATGTAGACAATGAACATCACTGTGCAAGAACTGAACCCTGTGGTACTCCACTTGTGACGTTTCTCCAGTCCGATACATTGCCTCTGATTACTGCCCTCATTTTTCTATCAGATAATTTTTCATCCATGTTAGAAGTTTACCTCTCACTTCAATATTTTCCCGTTTCCAGAACAACCTCTTATGTGGAACTCTGTCGAAAGCCTTTTTAGATCCAGATAGATGCAGTCAACCCAACCATCTTTTTCCTATAGAATCTCTGTGGCTCGATCATAGAAACTGATTAAATTCGATACTGTACACGGGATCTTCCAGATTGAAAACCATACTGTCTGTTTGATATTATATCATTTCTCTCCAGGTGTTCTACCCATTTAGTTTTTATTATTTTTTTCCAATATTTTGACTAATACACTTGTTAATGACACAGGTCTATAATTGAGGGTGTGTGTGTATGTATGTATGTATGTATGTATGTATGTATGTATGTATGTATGTATGTATGTATGTATGTATGTATGTGTGTATGTATGTATGAACAGTATACATAAACAGGCTTGTTGTCTCCAACAAAATTAATCAATCAATCCCCCCCTCTTGTACTCATTACTCCATGTGTCTGTATTACAAAATGATGATGATCAGTATACCACTTTTGATTACCTTCAATCAAAACATACAGTATTGTTATAATTATAGTACTGGTGCTGTACATGCTTAAACAAACATCTTCTTTGAACTGTGTAACCTTGCAAAGTTGTAACGAACTGTTAATTGTTGGACAGGGAAGTGGATTCTTTGAATATAACAAAATAGATGTCACGTCACACAAAAAAAATTGGTGCATATAAACAACAGAGTCAGTCACTGATTAAATATGAGGCCGATATTCTTAGATAAAGTTGGTAATACAAGCCGGAATATACATGTACAGTACTGTAGTAGTATTAATGTGTAGAAGGAATAAATGGCTATGTTGAGAAGTTAGAAGGAATGTGAGATGTACAGTAGCTTGATATGTACCGGGTATATTTATTTACTGATTTAATTTAAATAAAAATATTTATGCATTGTTAAATATTATTTCAGACATATGTGGCAAATATCCTCATAGCAGTGAATCCCTACATCGATATTCCAAAACTTTACGCATTGGATACCATTAAGAAATACCAGGGCAAATCCTTGGGACAAATGCCACCTCATGTCTTCGCAATTGGTAAGCTACAGGCAAAGAAATTTTGTCAACATCTTTCCAGATGCTGCCAGATAAGTAGGCATATATATATATATATATAATTTTTAGCTGCCTAGGCACATAGGCTGAACACCAGGCATAGGGACTGGGAAATACGTCCCTTGACTGGCTACTATCCATATTTGCTAGTGGATAGGACTCATACTTTTGGTCCATCACTAACCTAATATACTATATACAGTATATTGTATTTACTAGCAAAAAGTCATATGATTTTCTCTACAAAATTCCACTAAGGTCACTTTTCAATAAATGTGTGGTAAATCATGCCTATATTTTTTCTTTCACAAAATATCCTCACAAAATAGGTGCAGCTTGCATACCAGCAAATACAGTACAGTACTACTTTCTTAATATTTTTGAAGTACAGTGGTACCTTGGTTTTTAATTTAATCCGTTTCCAGAGACGGTTCGTAAACCGAAAATTCACAACCTAAAACAAATTTACCCATAAGAAATTATGTTAATTGAATCCGTTCCACACTCCCAAAAAATATTAACTTTAATAAAATATATTTCATACATACTACACACAAATACTTTGTACTATAGTATGTACAAGTTATAGCTTACCTTTATTGATGACTCTTGTTGGCATATGAAAGATGGTGAAGAGGGGGGGGGGGGGGGGAGGAGGATAGTGTTAGTGTATGGAAGGGAAGTTCCCTTCCATTATAACATCAGGCAGTGATGACTTCTCTGGGGTACACTCTCTCCTACATTCTGCTGCATACCAATAGGACCTGGTTGTGGCTCACTGCTTGTTTGTCTCACTAAGAACCTTTCCATAGAGACTTGCTTTTCCTCTATGGTCATCCTCACATGTGTTTTCTTAGGTTGAACCTTACCACCGAGTTTCTTACCATGATCCATGGTCATGATATACCATGATATACCTTATATACCATGACCCATGACATGATATATAATAATTACTTTTATTTTTAGAAACAAAAAAAAAGCTGAAAAACAATGAAATTCTTTACAAAGAATTCAAGTGCGATCGTCACTAGACGGGAGACACTTGTAAACTGAAGCGCGGTCGCCCGTTCCACCAGGAACCACATGCTCGGTCGACTCATACACGTATCGATAAACTCGCAAACCGGAGCAAAGTTTGTACAGTAAACAATTCAAATTTTACAAAGAAATTGAACTCGTAACCGAAAAATTTTGTAAAGGGGGACATTTGTTACCCGAGGTTCCACTGTACTGTATATCATAGAAATCCTAGAGTACTGCCATAGAATAATTTTTAGGTTTCAAAACCCACATAAGGTGTTTGTTAATAAATAACTTTATATTTTTTATCAATCATTATCACAATTATCATTTTTATCAAGCAATGAGTAGGTGATCAGCTGCTCATTGCACTTTTATCATTTATGTAACCTTATCTCTACAGCTGGGTAACTATATCAATCTTTTGTTTATGTATTTTATATAAATTAATTACTTTTAGAGTCCTAAGGTAAAGTTGAATAATAATAAAAGGCACAAGTGAATAATTGAGATATTGATAGTTATCTCGATTATTCACTCATGTTAGTGCTTTGTTTGTATGTTTTATATGTATGTATTTTCTTAAGAGTTTATTATACAGATTTAAACAGTTCAAAATTCATTGTGTCTTGCAGCGGATAAAGCCTTTCGTGACATGAAAGTGTTGAAGCAATCTCAGAGCATCGTTGTCTCGGGAGAATCTGGAGCTGGAAAAACAGAGTCCACTAAGTACATTTTAAGATATCTTTGCGAGTCCTGGGGGTCAAAAGTTGGACATCTAGAGGCAAAGATTCTGGATGGTGAGTATGGATTGGATGTGTGTTTCCAAATATGTATTGAACATGTCTTTCATAACATGTCACATCTTGTGTAAGTTGACAGTCTCATTGCTGGGAAATTGTTCTCAGTGCATAGCTTCACCGTGAGAAAGTTAGTCCTGTAGCACAGTGGTCTATGTCCTTGACTCACAATTGAGTGACCCCTGGGTTCAAACCTCGAACAGAACAAATGGTTGGGCACGTTTCCTGTCAATGTATCTCTGTTCACCTAGCAGTAAAATAGATACCTGACAGGTAGGCAACTGTTGTGGGTTGCTCCCCAAGGATACTAGACCATCAGTAGTTGGCATAATACAAGTCTTAAGTACTGAGTACAGGCTCCCTCTCCTTGACACTGGCAATACTAATAATCGATATCCAGCTATTCCTGCTGCTATCAGGTATAGGTGTGTGTGTGTCTTTTACCATGTGAGAATATAGTGTGACATCTGTAAAGAGGCATACATTAATATTTATTGTCCAGTTATTCATATTTTCATATCTGTCAGTTAACATGAGTTGGAACAAGTTTATTAAATTTCATAATAAAAATATTAATCAAGGTACTATGTAAATGGCACATCATTACGAGTAATATGCCAGGCTGTATCAACCTGCTCTTTCTCCATGATGGGTATCTTTGCTAATTGTTTTGCCATGTAAAATAAAGAGGCAAGACAATAGAGAAGTCTCAGTCTACCCCTGAGAGACAGCTTGTAATGCAAAACAGAAAAACTTAATTAATTTTCAATGCCGTTATAAGCCAAACTTTTGATTCACAAGGAAATGGTTATTGTTCTGAAACTATTAAAGTGGCACTATATTGTCAGTTGACTACATGTTGGCATGTAGTAATGTTGTTGACTACATGTTGGCTCTCTCAATGTCTGGTGCCTACTCACTAAAGTTGTGTTAACTTTTCAAATACCAATTCTGTCAGGTTTCTTCTGATGTTTTTGTTTGAGACTTTGCACCTGCACTTGGGGTTGTCATGCTTTAGCATTCACTTTGTGTGTATGGTTCTCCATCATTTGCATGCCTATGTCCTGTATATTTTGTTTCAGCTCTGTTTCAAACTTCTCTTTCCTAGCCCTGATTGTCCAACCCGTCCTCAGACCAAGTCCATTCCATCCAGCGGTTGACCCCAAAGACACATTCATAAATTTTAACATGCTGTTCATTCAAAACAGGAATTTTCTCAAATATATATTAATATTATTTTATATTACCATACTGTACATATTTAGGCACTGGTTAGATTAGGTTAGGTAGGTGTTTAGGTTCTATTGGCGATTATTTGTATTTGTAGTACGTGGGTGAAGCATTTGTAGCGTGGTTCGAACAAATTTCATCAGTGAAGCACTTGTTTCAAAAGTGTTCAAACGTCATCAGTTGTGAGTCGTTTAGGAAGTTTGGCGGGTGCATGGAATGGACTTTGGGTCTTTGTTTGGAAGATGGGTTGGATTCTCAATGACTGAAGGCTTTGAGAGTCTTCTTCTTTGGCACTGTTTGGAGTAGTCATCAGTGCAGTTCTTTTTCCTTTTGGGTGGTTCCATACCCTTGACAGTATCTGGTGACTGTGTCCTTAAGTTGTAGGCCTTGAAATTGGACAGCTGTTAATTACACTGGGAGTTCATCATATCATCACCTGGGAATTCTGTGATGGGACTCTTCCTTGGGGGTTTACTTGCAGTGTGATGCTTCCATGAAACCTCAATTCTTCCCCTTTCAGAGGGGGAATTGATGTTTCTCCACTGTCTTCCTTCGTAATTCTACATGGGAGGACAATTAGTAAAGATACATGTTATGGCGAGGAAGCTGTTTGACAGAGCCTGGTTCATTTTGTGGTCCGAATGTACCATATACAGTATGCGGATGACTTGGGAAGCAACTGAGTAATAGCTAACAAATTTGTTTCAGTACTCTCATCACTCCATTTTTTTCTGTGGTCTGTATCCTTCTCATCCATGAAAATGGAAAACAGAATAGTAATGTGTGTTTGTTGTTTAAGTTTATTACTGTACTGTATTTACATCTGTTCTGTATATTATTTGGTTTTGTTAAATTAAATGCTTATATATTTTTATAAATTCTCAAATGATGTTCTTGGAAATGAAATATATCTGATGCAGAATATTACATTTTCATTCTTTATCAATTCTCTTTGTTTCAGCTAATCCTGTTCTTGAATCCTTCGGTAATGCTAAGACAACTCGCAACAACAATAGTTCCCGGTTTGGAAAGTTTATTGAGATTCATTTTAATGAGAGACATTCAGTCGTTGGAGGTTTCATATCTCACTACCTTCTTGAGAAATCTCGCATTGTAGTTCAAGGGCCCCATGAGCGAAACTACCACATTTTCTATCAGCTCTGTGCGGGTGCTCCAGAACAGTTAAAGCAGCAACTAAAACTTGGAACTCCAGATCAGTACAATGTAAGTAGCATTTGTTGTTGCCCAATTGGATACTATTCTAAATAATTTTTATATAATGTTATTTATGCTTAAACATTATAATTATAATCATAACAGTGTGGGGTTTTCTATTTTGCTTTCCCGACTGCAATGCGTACGTCACCAATGTACATGTGGCAGACGCTTCACGAAAATGTCAGAATCCAGCAGAGAAAATAAGAGGGCAACCGTACAGGGCCTGGGAGCAAGGTCGAGTTAGAGTCCTTGAGGGTCTCTTCTCAGACTAGCCTCACCTGGTCCTGATCCACGTTGGTCGTTGGAATCTCCTCAGTGCTTGAAACGCTTTAAGGGACTTCTAGGGTCCTCATCACATTTATAGTTTAATGAATAATAGGCAATTCGGTGTTGAAGACACCTGGAGCTGAAGGCTTAACCACTGAACTGCGCCAACCAAGTATTCTCGGTCGGTGGGAAACTGCGCCAACCGAGTATTCTCGGTCGGTGGGAAACTGCGCCAACCGAGTATTCTCGGTCGGTGGGAAACTGCGCCAACCGAGTATTCTCGGTCGGTGGGAAACTGCGCCAACCGAGTATTCTCGGTCGGTGGGAAACTGCGCCAACCGAGTATTCTCGGTCGGTGGGAAACTGCGCCAACCGAGAAAACTCTTTTTTTATTTTTTCGTACCCATTCTAAATGTGTGCGCAGTTGGTTGTGTACGAAATAGAATCTTAGGACCTCCAGTGAGAGGCAGCCATCTTGGAAAAAATTCCCAGAATGCTTTAGGGCTGCTGGCTGGGTTAGTACTGAGTGAGCAATCATGGGTGGCGCACGCGCCTCTGGCTCCCAAACACCTATCCGACGCGGTGTTGAAAGATCGCACTCTGTCGGTGAAATTCAAACCTTATTGTTCGAAGAACATAAGGGTCATAATCATAATATTGGTGAAGCTAGGTGCAATAAGGATCTAACACACAGGTCGGATGTAAGTGATACAGCACCTATGAGGACCATACAGCGAGCGTATCCAGTTGTAGCTCTGAGCGCCACCCTTGCCCACCTATGCTGTGTCCAATTTATATAGATGGTAGATTGATGAATCGTTTTCTGCGTTCAGTGATGATGCATCTGATACCAGTAGCATAGATGAACAGTATTAGTGGCTTCAATGATGGTGTTTTCCATAGATATTTTCAGGAATAGCTGAATCTCTTCTTGACTGACGGACACTCTTCGAGGCTGGCTGAATCTCTTCCTGCGTGGGACCTTACAAAGCGATCTTTTCAAGACTACTTTATAAATTGATCTTTTCCTATAATCTTTTCAAGACTACCTTGTGCTTTACAAGCTTGGCTACATACCATCTACAGGTACTAAAGCCAAGGGTGTACATGAGTGCGTTATTTGCAACCACACGGGAACGAGGAAACAGGAAGAGAAAATCTATCTGTACCTGGTGCAACGAGAGCGAAGTCGCGCTGTGTACCATGGACTACTTTGTTGATTATTACTCACTTCTGAAGTACTGAGTGTGTAATACAGGGTTTTATTGTGTAAATAGTGTGTGAAACTGTACATATTGTAATTTTAGTGAATTTTTAACAAGTAATATTGCGACAATAAACATTTATTGTGGACACATTACTGACACATGTATCACAGTTCAACCCATTCTCACACTTGCTTATAGTCAATATAGTCAATAGTCATAATATGTACTGTCTTGTGCGAGAGCGGGTTGACACGCATACACCGTTGGGTGTCTAGATCTTCACCTATACCTGTGTCAGGTATGAGAAGGTGAGAACTGTGGTTGATCCCTCAGATCAACACAGACAGACACAATAATAAAGAAACAAGATCTTGTACTTACAGGTATGGCTACCTCTCTTATTCACTCACTCACTAGTGCACACTTACGCAAAAACTCGTAGGTAGCCTGACAGCTAGTTCCGCTCGTTATGATGTGAGACCCTTGACGACAGGCTTTCCCAACAAACCGTATTTGACTTGGAGTGTACTCGCATAGGAGGGCGTGCTGTATGCTTAACAGACACACACACACACACTTGATGGCACTGGCGGTGAGTAAGGGTGGTGCCGGGTGGTGACGTCACTTAGTACAGTGAGGGCAGGGCAGATGGCGGCTTGAGGCGGCTACACGCTCTGGTCTGAGTGGCGGCTGGTGAGTGGCGGCTGGTGAGTGGCAGCTGGTGGCGGCTGATTATATGATACCATGCAGTACACTGGGGTAAAGTCACACACAGATTACTTAGGCGGTGGCACTGCCTTATTTCACTTTAGGTCGCTCACAGACAATCTCAATTTGTCACCAGGGGGTTACCTGATACCAGTCTGTTGCGCTCTGGTGATATGTCACTAGGAGGCTTCTAAACAATATAGTCACAATCGCGATTCTGGGCGAGCGTTGGTATATTGAAAACACGCTGAGTTTAACTTGACGGTGAGGAATGGACGGTGTTCTATCTATTGGCCGAATAGACAGAAGGATACGACCACAATGTACGGACTTCCTCACGTGAATACCCTTGCAAGAGAATGCAGGGCTCCTCGTGGGGCACAATCACTAGGTCTACAATTGACTAATGGCGTTGCAGCAAATGAGCGGCAACCAATAATACTGATCGTTACATGATCGGTAGAAGAGTGGCGTCATGACCATGTCATGAATACGTCAATGTTGTTGTTGAGATTGACCCCAGAGGTCAGAGCTTATCTCTCGCCTCGCGGGCGCCTCTCCCTCTCTCATGCTTGGCACCTCCACTGCGTACCCAATGACTCTATGACATGGATGCTTAACTTTCCTGTATCTATTTCCTGCTTGGATATACGGCGGCCTCCATGTGTTAAAAGTATTCCGGGTCATGTAGGCATCCTGGGGGACACCCAACAGGACAGTTTTCCATCCAGTGTTAAGAGATAGGGCTTGTGCAAGAGATCAATGCACTGTGCACGGCAATGAGCCATTCAAGTCAGCTATGGGAGGATCTTGAGAGACCATACTCTCACAAACAGCCACTTATGAATTGTTAGTTAAATGTTGTTTGTTTTTTATATATGATGTTTCAAAGCTGAGGTCTTAGAGCAAAAGAATGCACTTATCCTTCACATTCTTGCTAAGTTATATTCCTACAAGGTTTGTCATTTGGAAATACCTACCTGCCAATAGTGAATTAGCAAACATGCAGTGGTTTACTATGTTGAGATAAACTTTCTATTGATACTTGTTGCACAGTTAAGTATTCACGCTATGTTTCCTTTTCAGTATTTAAGAAAAGGATGTACTCAGTACTTCTGTAGTAAAGATACCGAAAAGTCTTTGGCAGCTAACAGAAAAAGTTCGAGTCACCAGAAGAAGGGGGCACTGAAGGACCCCATCTTGGATGATGTCAGGGACTTTGCCATTATGGACAAAGCTTTGGGCAACTTTGGATTGAATAGCCAAGAGCGGCTAGCAATTTACACAACTGTGGCAGCTGTTCTCCATCTGGGGAATGTTACCTTCGAAGATAATCCAGAGGATACTAAAGGTACCATTTTGTTTAAGAGACTTTCTGTATTTCTGTAGTGTGTAGGTGTATGTGTTTAGTTTTACATGTAGAATAGTTAAAAATATGGGCTTTCACTTTGGTTCAACTAGGGAGCCGGTCGGCCGAGCGGACAGCACACTGGACTTGGGAACCTGTGGTCC